ACATGGCCGCGGGTGGTCACTACGCCGGCATCCTTGAAGAGAAGTTGTTAACCTATTTTGTGATATTTGTCGGGTTTTTGTGTTAGTTTTTGATCGCAGTTTGTCTGAAGTCTCAATTTATCTTATTTGTCTACAGGCTTGTCTTCATTAAAAGTCCTACATTAAGAAGCTCAATAGTTTGGCTTCTTCAGCTTAAAGGCAGCGATTACGATAAATTCAAGAAGGGTTTAGTGTGACGTGGTGGTGCTCAATGGTACGCCAGTGGCGAAAAAAGCAGAAAAATCCGTCAAGAAAACGCAAAACGGGACCCCCTTTTTTGGCCGTTGGTTTTCACTCATGAACAGGTAACAGCTCAGAAAGCGGACGTATGAACGAGTTCACGCAACGCGTTTGGTGGCACCATGCCAAACCACGCTCCAATCGAGTTGCTCCAGTTGTGCCGCTGCTGGCAACGCAGCTCGTCCAAATCACAACTAAACTAGTGGGCGGAGCGCTTTCGAAGTCCTGCTCAGCAACCAGCGCACCTTTCGTCGTGAAAGCGCCACACTCGCTTCCCTGGCAGCCAAGTAACTGATTCGTGTGGTGCACATGCTTCCCGATGCGCTCCCTCTTTATCGTAATCGCTTCCTTTAAAAGAGGACTCCACGATAAGTTCGGGAGCAGGGTGAATAACGGTCGAGGAATTCCTCGACCATAGCTCTCTACTGTGCGAGAGTAGTGCCGAGAGTGAATGTACGCGCGGAGAGCACAGACGGCTCGCGGGTGGCGAGAGTGAATGTCCGCGCGGAGAGCGTGACTGAACAGGCGAAAATCCTCGACGAGCCGTTGCTGTTTCCTCGACAGATTTCGACCCTGTGGAGGTCGAGGAAGGGGTTATGTACCATGTCGAAAGGCAGGCGGACCGCCTAAAGGTGCGGGACGATGCGAGTTCAGCAGCGAGGGGTACGTCCCAGTAGCCCAACAGGACCATACCCGCGTTGCCCGCGTCATGGCACGCCCGTCCCATCGCCGCCTGCCTCTAGAGGGTTAGCGGTGAAGAAGGCAAGTAGCGATGAGAGTCGCACCAATGGAATCAACGAGGAAGGAAGGGGACCTATTTCCCAGGTTCTGGGCCTTTTCTCATGGTTTTTTTTATCCCTGTACTACTGATCCACCTCTACCTCAATTTGTAATGGGCTGCCTTTTCATCGTAAACCCGCTTCCAAAGAATACCGCCGCTTGAAACGTAAAAAAATCAATCCGAGTCACATTCTTCGAATTTTTGCTAAAACCTACCTGAGATAAGGCGGCGACAATTTTTGATTTTCCCTTTGATGTTCGAGAAGGTAGGGCGATGATTGCTTTCCCTTTGCCGTCATAAGTCGT